CCCCGGCCCCGGCCCCGGCCCCGGCCGCGGCGCTTCCCAGCAGCGGGCGTCGCTCTGTGCCGGGGCCCCGCGAGCCGCAGGGAGCGCTTTAAGGACGGAGAGAAACGGCTCCTCGGTGCGGCGGAGCCCCGGGCCGTCTGCCGGCGGCAGCTGCAGGGGCACATAGCACACCCCCCCCCCGCCTTCCGCCCCGGCCCTGCGCTGGGGATGCTTCCTCGGACTCCGGCCCACGGGGCTCAGGCAGGCGGTGAGCTCCCGTTGGGGGTAGGCCCTGGCTTGCGCGGCACGCAAAGCTCAGGGCTCAGCGGGCTGCGGGCTGCTCCAGGCACCAGGCCGCGCTCCCCAGCCTCGGCGCTGGCGGGGCAGGCCCGCCGCATTCCTGCACTCTGCCCTGCTGGGAGCTGGCTGCCCGGCCGCCGCGCTGGGGGAGAGGCCAGGGCGAGCGGGTTAGCAAACGCGGCCTCCAGGAGGTTTAGTCTGAGCCACAGCTGGTGGAGGGGCAGGGCAACGGGCCAGTCCGGCCGGCCCCGGGGGTCTGTGTGTAGCTGTGCGGGGCCGGAGGTGGGCTGCCAGTTCTGCGCCAAGAGCGTTGGGGATGGAGCCGTGCAGGCCCGGGCTGGGCGCTCGGTCGCAGCCTGGCACCGAGGGGCAGCTCTGGGCATCGCGCTTCTAGCGGGGCAGGCGCGGGCTGCCAGTTCCTGGAACCGGTGTCACCAGCTGTGTGCTCAGAGCAGCGTCATGACGCGGGCATCGCACTGGCAGTGCCTCCCGTGGGCCCTGCGCGCCCTGCGGCACCTGTGTGAGCGCAACCTGCTCCCAGCAGCTGACTGCCTGGTCCGGTCTGACCTGCCCAGGGGGCCCAGGGCTGGGCAGGGGAGGCTCTGCTTTCATCCAGGAAGCCACCCCTGCCCCAGGCAAGCGGACGGAGACATGAGCAAAGGGGCCTGACTCCAGAGCGGGGCTCCTAGCAGAGCGGGCTGCGACCTCGGGGCGTGGAGGGCAGCGTGGCTGTGGTGTGGGGGGCCTCAGGCAGCCCAGAGCCTTTGCCCTGCCCTCGGCTGCCTGGGCAAATGCTGGGGTGCCCAGAGCCTTGTACAGCCGCCTCTCCTCTGGCGCTGGGGCCTGGCAGGAAACCAGTGGCTGTGTCGCAGCTGCATGAGATGGAGCAACATCACTTCCTGACGGCTCCTCTCCTGCTCGGGCGGGCCAGAGCCAGGGCCCTCCCCACTCCCAGGGAGACACCCCGCGCAGCGCCAGCTCCGTGCCGTGCCATGAGCTGGCCCTGACGGCGCTGCTGTCCCCAGCCACGGGGTCCTGTCGGGCAGCTCCGTGTCCCCTGCGGCTTGCCCAGACGGCCCCCTGCCTCGCTGCCCAGCCCCGCAGCATGGACGGCTTGGAAGGGGCCTGTCTGAACCTCTGCTGCTGCCTCCCCCTTGTGCTGTGCGTGGGTGCCTGTGGTCTGTCCTGCTCCCGGCTGCATTGGGAGCTGCCCCTGTTCCAGCAACTGCTGCTTGGCAGCTCCGCTCTGTGCATGCGGCTGTAGCAAGCTCAGGCCTCTTCTGGCCCTGGGGATGCTGGTGGGAGCAGAGCCTGGAGGGGATGTGCCTGCGCCTGGGGAAGCAGGTGACCCTGGGCTGCTGTGCGAGTGGCCGGTCCTGCATGGAGCAGCCATCGGGTGCCTCCAGGTGCCCTTGGATACCAGCAAGTGGCCCAAGGGTGGCAGCTGTCTGCAGACTGGGATGCAACCTGAGGACCCCCTGAACGCGGGGCGGTGGGACCCCGGCTCAGCCACGTCGGGCATGGTGCTAGCCAGCGCGGTCGTGGCTCTGCCCCCCGCTCATTCCCATGGTCTCCCTAAGCTGTAGGATCTGGGGTCAAGCCGTAACCCTGGCATCCCGCGCAGAGCTGCAGCCCCCGGCCAGGCCTCTCCTCTGCCCTTGCTGGCTCCTCCCTGTTCCCACAGCCTGCCCTAGCCGGTGCCAGCTGGCCAAGAGCGCGAACCCTGCTCACGCCCAGGTCACGGCAAGCCTGTCGGAGGCCTGTGCCCCGGTGCCAGCAGGGTCACCTCCTCCCAGCGCTGGCCTGGCATGCGCCAGCACGTGGCCTGCAAAGCCTCCCTCCCCTTGGCACTTGGTACCAAGCCAGCCCAGGTTGGTCACGGTGGAAAATTACTGCCGGCTGCCCTGCTTCCTGGGGACACCCACCGCGCTCCTGGCTGGCACGGAGCACGGGCAGGCTGTGCAGAGGGGCCGAGGCTGAATGGGCCACAGAGGCTATGCTCCCTCCTTGGCCCCAAGCCGGGGGCTGCTGCTCCGGGGCCCTGGCAGCCGGGAGAGCAATGGGGGCAGAGGGAGATGGCAGCCTGGGAGGCTGGTTTGTCGTGCGTGTGTAAAAGGGGACCAGGCTGGCGTGCTCCCTCCTTCCTGGACCAGGCTTTGAGCGTTGCTCGTTAACACTGGGGGTCCTGCACCATGCAGGAGAAGTAGCAGCACTGTGTGTTGATGGTATTTGGGGCCTAGGGGGGAGTCCCCCCAGGTGCATCCCGCAGCTGCCGAGGCCTCGTGGGAAGGGGTGGGGGCCTGGGGGGGCCAGGGCAGGTGCTGGCTGGCAGCAGGGGGATGGGGCAGGCTGGAGCTGAGGGTTGCTCCTAGCCCCTCGGTGGCAGGTGGGACCTGGGCGCCCAGCACAGACCGGCCCCCAGCCCCGTGGGAACGGCCCCTGCAGGCTCGGCTGCTCTGTGCCCTGCCGCGGGGGCACCGCCTGCGCCCGGGGACGCGCTGACTCAGCTGTGGCGAGGTCAGGCCGGCGCGGCTGTTATCAAACCCTTGGAAGCCGGCCCGTGTCCTGGAGCGCCCAGAGCCCCTCTCCTGCGTGGCGGTTGTGGTCCAGGCACAGGGCAACGGGGGACAGCAGCGGGGGCTTGCACAGCAGCAGGGAGGCAAGTGCTGGGTCCTGCGTGGATCCTGCAAGAGAGGAAAGCTCCCAGCCCGGGGCACCCGCTGGAGCCGGTCAATGCCAGAGCGGGGCTGGAGGGTGTCGCAGGCGGGGTGGGGCACTTGCCCTGTGGCTGGGGCAGGACAGGCAGCCCTCTCCTAGCCCCAACCCTGGCCAGGTGCAGCAGCAGTGGGGTGTGGGGAGCTGCTCTCGGGACCCCAAAGGGCACGGGGGCTTGTGAGGTCAGTGGTAGCCGGGTCCGTACAAGGAGGGGGACGGGAGAGCTTTGTCGCTGCCAGCTGCTGTGCACCTCCCAGGGACCCCCATGGTGCTGGCTCCATCCTCTCCTGGCCCACCCCGGTGTCGCCAGCACCCTGGCTCCTGGAGTCGGGGCGCTCTGCCGGGGTCTCGGAGGGGGCTGGGGTGGACAGCTGGGCACCCAGTCGTGCCATGGCGGAGAGCAGCACCAGCCTGGCTGCATGCCCTGGAGGGTGCCAGCTGGTCCGGATCCCCAGGGACTGCAGCCATCCCCCCGCCTGGCAGCCCCTCGGGGATGCCCGTGTGTCCTCCGCCGTGGAGTGGGCTCCCCTCGCCTGCCCCCCGGCCTCCCCCTCCCCCTCGGCCTCTCTGGCTCCTGGCTGGGAGCGGCGCTTGGCTGCGCGGCTGGGGTCTTGGCGGGGAAAGCGCTGAGCCGGGCCCCTCCACAAAGCCGCACTGTTCAGAGCGGAGCTGCCGGGACCGGCTGCATTTTTGTCAAGTGATTCATCAGCACGTGAATGGAAAAGGCTGGAACCCGCTGAACCAGCAGCCATCCCGCCACGGCTCCCCGGCCAGCGCGCTGGGCTCCTGCCCCCAGCGGGGAGGGGGGAGGGCTGAGAGGGGCACCCCGGATGCCCCTGGCAAGGCATGGGGCAGCTGGGGGGCCACACTCCCTGCCTGCCTGGGCCCTGCCCTGGCTGCCGTCCTCGTGAGCTGGGCTGTGGCGCCAAGCAAGCTGCGCGTGGCCGCCCAGTGCTTCCTCGGGCAGCGCCACGCACACGCCCGTGGGGGGGACGCGCCGGGGGCCACCGTGCCGCAGGAGCCCTCAGTGCCGTGCACCCCCACGTGCCATCTGGCAGCTGCCAGCCAGCCAGGGTGGCGACCCTGTCCTTGGCAAGGCCCGGCCGAGCTGGCACCAGCCGCCTACTTTCCCCGTGTCCTTCTGCCCTACGCAGATGGCGCTGACCGTCCAGCCGCCACTGCAAGGGCCTGTCTCTGAGCCGTGGGCAGGGAGCTGCATGCTCCATGCCGCAGGGGCAGCACTGGTGCCAGGGGCTGCCTGCCTTCCAGTGTGCTCGCGAGGACGGCACCTGCGCTCCCTGCTGCCCAGCCCTCCTGCCCAGAGGGTCCTCTTCCCAGGCTTCCTGGGGAGGACGTGCCGCTCACTCAACCCCACTGGCCAGGAGGGAGGATGCGGTGATGGACTTGGCGTTGCGTGCAAGTCCTGCGCATCGCCGTGAGTGCAGACGAGTGCCATGTGAGCCGTGGGCACGGCTGCGGTTCGGGCAGGGTGGCATGGCAGGCTGTTCCCAAGGGATGCCAGCCAGGAGGAGCCTGGGGGGGCTCTGTGTCCATACCACAGCATCAATGCAGGGTGCACAGCTTGCTAACCCACTCCGTGCCTGTCTGTTGCAGTGATCCGGGCCAAGGTCGTCTCGGGGAAGGAGGTGGATTCTGGGAATGACATTTATGGGAATCCGATCAAACGGATCCAGTACGAGATCAAGCAGATCAAGGTAAAGACGAGGCTGCCCGAGCCCTGCTGGGGCTCTGGGGTCTCGGGCAGGATGAGGAACCAGGCACAAGGTCCCTGGTGTGTGGGTGGCAAGTGCTGTGAGCTTCTCCCAGCAGTGTCCCTGTCATAGGGGCCTGGCCCTGCCTGGGATCTCCAGCCCAGCCCTGAAAGTCCTGCAGGTCCTTGGCTCCCGTCCCAGCAGTGCTGCCTGGCTCACGCACCTCTTCCTTGTCTCTGCAGATGTTTAAAGGCCCCGACCAGGACATCGAATACATTTACACGGCCCCATCCTCCGCTGTGTGCGGTGTCTCGCTGGACACCGGTGGGA